TGAAGAGTATAAGGATGTTTTTTTGCACTATTTTTATTTTTGCAACATTTATAAATTTGAAGTTGCTGCAAAGAAAAACCTAGCAGTATCAATGGCTTTCAGACTCCACTGTGCTCGGACCCTCCCTCCTGTCTACCCTGCAGTTCAGCTGCCAGGCCTGCGTCTCCTCTCCTCCATGGAAACCTGATGCAGCAGAGCCCCAGCCCTCCTCAACGGCAGATCCCAGGGAGGGGAGTGCCCTGCTCTGGACTCTGGGCCTTGCTCTCTCTTAACACTCAGCACTTCTTGGCCTCTATGGCTCCTCCCTTCTCACCTCACGCCCTCTTCTCTCACCCTTCCCTCCTCTCCTTTCCTTCTCCTGCTCATCCTTTACATGCAAGAGAATGCCAAGGTTCTTCACTCGGATCTAGTCTTACTAAACATCCTTTTCCTGAGAATATCATTCCATTTCTATGGCTCCAAATACCACAAGCTGGATAGATAGGCAGACAGTTGGTCCTTAACACTTGACAGACATGAGGACGTCATTTAGTCCTTGCTGTCCAGTAGCAGCATGACCTTGGTGGCTTTGGACATGGGCACTTTCTCCCATGCACCTGTGGTGGGCAGCCTTCAGCTGACCTGGGTTGGACGTTGCTGGACATGGTTCTAAGCTGCAGGTGAGGTGCAGCCTGCTCCCTGGGCCTCTCTTCCCCTGGAATGCGGACTGGGATGCATTCTCAAGGTGATGGCAGCAGCAGAAGAACAAATGTCAATATTTGCTGCCTCTGAAGGCCTAAGCTCAGAACTGGGTCCCTGGTGTTTCTACTCACAGTCATTTGGCCAAAGAAAATCACAGGATCAAGCCCAGAGTCGAGGGGCAGGAAAGGCCCTCCATCTGCCGTTGTAAGGCCTGCAGAGACTTATGAGGAGCGTGGCCCCAGGGAGGGGTGAGGCTGGAGCTCCCAGAAGTAAACCTGCACGAAAACGTGACCCTGTCTCACCCTGCCCCTGGTGAGAGACATCGCAACTGACATGACAGCAGAAGCACACAGGTGCCCTGGGAAAGAGAGGGGGACATCAATGATGGGGGGGGGGCAGTAAGGACAGCTGTCAGGGAGGAAAGAGGGACAAACAGTCCACCTGGAAAAGTGGACTGGGGGACTTTAGAAGGCCTCCTACCTCTGGACCAAAGGCCAGAAGCTCCACCTCTCTAAGGTCAGATCCCCCCACACGCTCTGGTATTTCTGGGGAGCCTCAGGAGACTCTCGCTGCACTGGGGAGCTCCCCGGCTCCCTGCACCCTTCCTCTTAACGCTGTTCTCCCACATTCCCTTCAGCAGGCGCAGTTGCTGCTGCGATGCCCGGAATCCAGAGCACGATGGTTTGGATGCTCAGCTGGGCCACAGCAGTGCACGTCCTACCTGCCACAGGGAGACGCTGGGGACCAGGAGTAGATGACGTTTCCCTTGCCAACTGGTAGCCTGCTCCCATACGTAGACCAACTCAGGCTTTGTTGAAAAACTCTCTCACTGGGTAGGAGCAGAGTTGATACCAGCAAAGTGCAGAGGAGCTTTCCTGAAAGTATCTCTGTGGGGATTCTTGTGAAGAATAATAAATCTGATCCAAAGACGCTTACATTTTTACATGCATTTTTAAACTGCCCAGAGAAACAACCTATGAAAGCACATTCTGAACCTAGAAAGAAGGAGGGTTGTGAGGCTCACAGTTCGAGTCCGGGCTCTGGCCTGGGCTGTGCCACAGGTCTGCTCTGTCAACCCTCCCACAATGGCACCTCCATCTGTGGAATGTGGCCATCCCAGGCTCGTGGGGTTATGTAAGAGGAAACAAAGACAATGCCAAGTTCCCGAGTCTTGACTAACTCACAGTAGGCACCAGATAAACGCAATGTTTTAAAAAATACCCAGCCCAAGGGGTCACCCTCACCCTTTGGAGGGTAGCTGTGTTTTCCTCTTTCTGGCTCATCTTCTATTTCAATTTATTGTTGAAAATTTTTAGCTGGCAATTCCAGCGATAGTGAGTATTTCCAGTTAATGGAGATCTTTAACTGGTGATAGGACTTCTCCTGTCCTGGAAACTGGGGAAGAAGACATTAAAGAAGCAAATGTGATATTATTTAAGTTTGTCCAATAAGCCCAATAGTTTATTTCAATAAAGTATCACAAGCATGGTGTTTTTCAGGAAAAAAAAAATCAATTTCTATTTTATTGCTATACTATCTTCAATTTATTCCAAATAATTCTAGGTAAGGAATAATAATAGTCACAGTCAAATATCGATTAGTTTCTGTGCTGGGAGCTTCTACAGTAGCTCCCAAGGACCCTTCTCCCACGTAATCCCCACTTCCTCGTGGGGGGCTGGACCAATAACTCACCATTTATGAGATGAGGCTGTGAAAGACTGACTTCCTTCCTGTACTCCCTTCACCCCTGCTTGCTATGATAAAACAAGCTGTCAATTTGGGAACTCAAGGGTCAAGGAATTAAGGAGGATGAAGGCTCAGATCAACAGCCAGGGAGGAACCAAGTGCTGCTGAGAGGATCCCCCAGCTTGGGTCCCTTTAGCTGAGACCTGGACTATAACCTCCAGAGGGCCTGGGAGTCCCTGAACCCAGAGAGGATTTTGTTAAGAGGTGGGGCCCTTGGTCAGGATCAGCTAAATCCATCAGGATGGAATCCCAGGGTTGAATCTGGTGCCTTTATAAAAAGAGGGAGAGAGAAACAGAGGAGATACATGCATTTGTGTCCGCCACCCCCAACTCTTGCCAGGGGATGCCTTGCACTGCCTCGAGACTTCCAGCAAGAAAGCCATCACGGTATGGACACTTGGACTGAGACCTCTAAAACTGTGAGTCAAAATAAACCTCTTTTATTTATTATGTTAACCTGCTTCAGCTATTTCATGACAGCGGCACCCAACAGAGTGAGACACTAACCTTTAGAATCCTCAAATTTGCAGAGTAAAAAAGCAGAAATCCCCTTTTACTTGTATTCAGTACCTCTAGTTCCACCTTCTTCCTCTCCACTGCCTGAGTGATTGTCTGTGGTACCGATGCCTTGCACAGCCGTCTCAGCTTTCTATGGAAAAAGACCTCCTGGTATTTAGAATGTCAAAAGCACTTGAGCGAGCCTATCCCCAGCCCAGGCTGGTGCCAAGGCTGAATAATTGCTCTTGGAATTTGCCCGACACTGTCACTTCAGATGAAGCCCTAGGCAGCTGCCACCAGCTCTGCTTTGCCTGTACTGCCTCACAGAGGTGGTCATTCAGGTTGCAAAATGGCCAGGCAGCACAGCCTGCCACCAGGAAGCTGCTTGACAAACTGCAGCCACAGTGATTGTCCAGTTCTTACACGGGCAACCTGCCTTGGAGGCAGATGGACCAAATGAACACAGGATGGAGGTCAGGAGTCAGCACAGAGCGTTTCAGCCCAGAGTCCCCTTGGCATCTGGGAGCAAGCCACCATCTGCTGCACCAGGGTTCCAAGCTTGCCGATCCAGCTTGCAGATGAATTGACATTTTTCAATTTCTTGAATCTGGGGAAGAGTATTGATGACTCTCTGTTGTTGCCATGAAGACAGTGCCTGCTCTCTGTCCAAACCTACAGCTCTAAGGCACCAGGATTCTACCATTTAATTTGTATAGGCTTGTCATCCCTTAGAGGGGAGAGAGCATTGGTAACTGTGGACTCAAGGACAAAATCTTATTACTCATCTTTGCAGCATGTCACCCAAGCCCAACAGCACAATTTTATGAACAGGTATTTTATGAACCGGGTCCCACCCGGGTGATGGATTCAGGGTCACTCTGCGAGAATTGGGCTGGCAAGGAAAAGACCACACAAATGCGGAAATACCTTTTCGGGGGTCAGGGACAGCTCTGTGACCTCAGGGGTCAGCTCCTATGCTGAAGGGCAAGAAGAGCAAGAGAGGCAAGAGGGAAAGCGCACCCGGAACCTCTGTGTTTATTAGGGAAAAGACATTCGATAGAATATTCCACCCAAATAAGGCAAGAGACTGTTACAAGAATCAGGGGGTGTAGTCCAACCCCATTGGGTGACGCCCAGGCCCAGAGCTGCACTTCCTTGACGAGCAAAGGTAAAGCCCACTTGCTTCGCACCACGTGCAATGCTGGTCCAATACCCTCCCTACTCAAGGCTAAGGGGGTGTGCTCAGCTCGTGTGCAGGGTGGCCCCGACAAACAGGGGACCACAAAATTGAAGAGATGAGACAGACCTCCAGTCCTGCATCCTCTTCTCCAGGGATCGGCCAGGAAAATACTGTACACGCCCTCTTCTCTTCCCAGGGCTTCTTTCCCTAGGACACTGCCGCATGCACGTCCCAGGAGAGGGGAAATTCCCAGCTTGACTGCCCAGGTGAGGTGGCAGCCTGCTGGGCAGCCTTTAGGGCAGGGATGCACTGCCCACCGCACTGCAGCTGGCCCTGGGAGCTGTGCCCCGAAGGCTCTCCAGCTGTTTGTCTCACTGGTTGGAATCACTTTGCTGGGGGCTGAGTCCCATCTGCAATTTGCTGGCTGGATCCTGGGACAAGCTTCTACACTGGATCCATGGGTACAGAAAAAAAGGAGCAGTCCCTGACGCGGGAATCGTCACCAAGACTAAGCAGGGTGCTCTCTCTTTGCTCTGCCCTGCTGTTCCTTGCTGACTTGTGGTCTGTGGAACAGGGAACATGCCTTGGCATTTCTCCTGTTCAGAGCTGGCTGCGAGTTCACTCATTCTCTATAGAAAGGTTCCCAGAGACGACTCAAGGAGAAAATCGTTCCTCTCCCAACATGGGTGGGATACATGTTTCCTGAGAAACTGACCAGCAAACGCCTTATCAAGATGCAACTCGGGTGAATTTCATTTGCATCTAATGTTCTGGCCACATTAGTCCCAGAACCAAATTTGTGGTCCACCTCCCACCAACAACAAAGGCTGCCACTCAGCCCTGCTAACTTCAGACCCTTGGCCCTTTATTCGGCTTCTTGAAAATGCCTGTTAGATATTGCTCAAATGTTTATTATGTTGAAGTAGCGTATTTTTAAGCCACTTTACCTCTCCTTCTGCAATGAAATAGAACATAAGTTTATTAACATGTTAAAAGACATTTTCCCCAACTGTTATTTCCAAGAACAACTCTATTTTAAATCCTACACTACCATGTATGGACTACAAATGCAGACCGTATATTGTTCTTAAGCAAATCTAGCAATAAGATAAAGCTTTTTCTGCTAAGCCTTGAGGTAAATTATGTTGTTGCACAGAATACAAGTGATAGCTGACAAGTCTCTGGGATCACAAAGTCAAGCCGAGTACAGGGTGATGTCATCTCTGCAACCAACATGAATTTTCCTTGAGGGAGATTTGCAAGCAAGACTCTCTGTTGATATGGCCTGGGGGCATATCCATGACCAGCCACATGCCTGGACCCTGTGGATGGAGTGGGAAGATGGATTTGGAGTAATGTTCTCTCAAACAAATTTACAATTTAAGGAAAAAAATACTGATTGCATTGTAATATTTTCTAGTAGAAATGATAAAAATCAATCAGTCCAGAATTACAGAATCCAGCAAAGCTGTACATTAAACCCTGGGAGGAGGGGAGGCCTCTTGTTAGGCAGCCCATTTCGAACAAAGTGAGTCTCTGCTTCCCGTGCATGGTAACCAGCAGTCACCTGGCACCTGAGTCTTTGATCTGCCTGCAGAAGGTTGTGGACGTGGTGATAGAGGGGACTCTGGAGGGAAGGGATGAGCAAAGCTATAACTTGAGCCCAGGAATCAACTGGCAATGGGATCCCAGAACCTAGTGGGCTTAATCTCTCACGAATCATCCAAATTCAATTCTGGGACTTCCTGAGAGGGGCTGAACGGTGAGCCTCATCCAGATACTTTTTTTTTTTTTTTGGATAATAAAGTGCTAATCAGCACCTTCTATGGAAGACCCCTTTCCACACTGGTTTATCTATGAATGAGGTTTGCATATAAACCATGATTTGCCATTTAAAATAGGATCTGAACTTGGGGTGGCCAACCCCTTGGGAAATCATGACTCCATTACTTTCTGTCAGAGGTAAAGTAGTAATTTTGAACTCTGGACACGGATCCCAGAACACAGCACCAAACCTACCTGAGAAACACCCCCATGCTCGGACAGCGTGTCCTCTCACCTGCATTGACAGGGGCTTGGTTTGCAGACAGTGATCAAGCTCTTCACTCACAGGCAGGTCATTTTAAAAATCTCTTTGTTCTTAAATTGCTAGGCCTTAAGGAGATAAGGTGTGTTACAGACATTTTGTCCCGTAAGGTCCAAGAGGTACGCATGCAGCTGGTAATCATTTAGTAAGCAGAGTTCATGTAAAAGAACGTGACTTGCTTCAGGTAACACTCTTCAGAGTTGACTGGCATTGCCCGTCCATATTTGTTGGGACATTTTGTTGCTTTCCTTCATCTGAGAAACCAGAAAGAGCAGAACCCACGAGCTCAGGTGAGCAACGTTGCAGCACACAGCAGAGGAAGTGCTTCAGAGACGCCCAGGTCTAGGTTCCAAGTGGAAGCCTTCTAACTCCTGTGCCCCTGGGAGGAAAAGTGGTCTTCCAACTGGAGAGAGGAGGAAACTCAGAGTTAAAAGGTGGGGACTCAGATAAAGAGAGACTCTGAGCAAATAATGGAATTGGGCACCAACCTGGACCCAGGCCAAGCCACAGGTGGAGCCTCCAGAGATGGCAATAACCAGCCAGGTGGAGCACACCTTTAATCCCAGCACGAAGCTGAGGCAGGAGGATCGCAAGTTCAAAGCCAGTCTCTGCAACTGAGGGACACCCTGTCTCAAAATAAATAAAAAATTTAAAAAGGCTGGGGGTGAGGCTCTGTGGTTAAGTGTCCCTGGGTTTAATCCCTGGTGTGTGTGTGTGTGTGTGTGTGTGTGTGTGTCAGAGAGAGAAAGAGAAATAGCAAGACCCGAAGTTGACATGCCCGTGTGGATAAAGTCCCACGGCAGCCTTGCAGTGCTCCCAGGGTCCCTGTGGGGTGCAGTAACAGCGGAGCACTTGGGTGTCCTCACTCCCAGCCTCATGGGGTTGCCCCCGTCCAGTGAGTGTGGAGGGAAGGGGCAGAATGAACACTGGGTACAGATATGGAGCAGTGACTCGGTCCACAGACAGGTCAAGAAATGGGCAGGGAGACAAGGAGACCTGAGAGGCCTGGAAAGCAAAGCCTAGAGCATCAGAATTCTGAACAGACATCCAAGTCGCAAGCACTGAGCAAGCCCTCCATCTTCCCCCTGAGATTAAGTACAACCCCAGAAGGGCTGGAAAACCCCAGATGGGCAGACTTCACTTCCACCACCCCAAGGGACCTTGATCCCAAAGTTAAATTATAAAGGAAAATATTTCTTGTGCACAGAGATGGTGCAGACTGAAATTCATCCCTATGCTAGTAAAACTATACGGCCTGCAATATATACATGAAGCTGCGTCAGATCTAATGTTTAGCACAGCCTTCAGTGTTTTTATAACTGAGACATTTCAAAACTAAGGAAGCAAACAAAATTTGAGTACAACATCCTGTTTACATAATGTTTTCACTACTTAAAAATCCAAGTACTTTGAACCAAAAAGTCTAACTTCCCTCTCCACCGCCATCCCCTGGGAAGAACACCACCCGGTGTCTTGTATTTGCAAACATCAAGGTGGAGAAGGTTGGGACTCTGGGAATCAGCTTCCAAGAAGTCAAGTTTTCAAAAGTCTGATTTCTCCAAATTTGTAGAAGCTTGCCCTACCAGGGTGGCCCACGGGTGTGGATGTAAACAGTTAATGAATAATGGCAGCGTCTGGGGAGCAGGGAGAGGGGAATCAGAGGGCCAGCAGCCCTTGGTAAGTGAAGCTCTCCTCCTCTTCCTTCCTCTGGGCCAGCTCTGAGTGGCACATCTGGCAACGTGGAGGACACCTGGTACCTGGAGAAGGAAGGATCCAAACACTGCCTGGCCAGGAAAATGGAGGCCCAGCAGAGACCTCCCATTGAGGATGAGGAAGCTGACGAAAGCAAGCAGGAAATAGGTCCCTGTGTACCCACTGGACCAGCCCGGGGCTCCCTTCAAGGACTGGCGGGAAGAACATCAGCATTTACCTGGCCACAGAGGCTCACCTACCTCTGTCTTCCCTTCTGATCCTCGCCCTTTAATCCCATTTCGTATAAACTCACACTGGGAGGTAGAGCCCACATGGACGCGGGGTTGACTGACCCACGAGCCAGTTAGGCCTTGTGTGTTCCTGTGTTTGGCAGGAGGTGGCTACGGGGACGGCAAGAGAGAAGGCTGCACAGAGGACACATCCTCCTTAGGGGCGGCCACTGTGGGGAGGAGCAGGGCCGGGTGACGCAGGCTGGTCACTCTCAGCATGCTCTGCCCTGGGTGGGGGGAGGGGTGCTGGCAGGCAGAGGACTCTGTTCTCCACGTAGCTGACCCTGTCCTCCAGCTGTCACTCAGTGGAGCTGCACCTTGGCTGGCACTCGGGGTTTGTGTCCCATCATCCCCAGGCCTGGTTCTGCCTCCCGACAGCTTGGCAGCTTGGCAGAAGCAACCCTCGAGGTTGCCTTCAATGTCTGCCTTCTGACCACACTGGACACACCTGGCCTCTGAGCTGGGTACCTGTTCACTCCTGGACACACCTCCTCGTGACCAACTACCTACCAGCGCCCTCCGTACCTCGGAATCATGTTCGACAAGTTAGAAGAAGATTCCAGAAACCCAAAGAGGGTGAAAGTCCCTTTCTTAATAGGACAGAGACCCTCAGAGCAGGCACAGGTAAAACCAAAGACAGCACTTAGCAACTCGGCACATGCTTTGCTTTAAATGCTGTTTTGATGTCTGCCTTTGACTAGAAATTCTTTCCAAAGGTCAGTGATTACTGATCAGCTGCCTATTAGTTCAGAGCCTCATTAACCCTTTCATCCTTAATGACACACTTGACAGAGAGAGCAAGTGCATCTGCCAATAAGTGGGTCAGTTCAGTGACCCGTCCACTGAGGAGCAGAGTGCATCCTGTTTTGAGTTACAGTTCATCGAGAACTAAGCTTTTTATTCCCTCTTTTTTCTCACATATTTCCTATAATTTTGCATAACATCACTGTGCCAAATGTTAAATGATGGGCAGGTGGGTAAAGGAGGCAAGAATTCAGAAGTTCTGGGCATAGAAATCCAGAGCGTATAAATATATGAGCATCAACTGCTCGTTTTTTATGGTTTATTTTTGGTTTGGTTGTTGCTGTTTGTTTTGCTTTGCTGAGGATCGAAGCCAGGGTCTCACACATACTAGCAAGTGCTCTGCCGCTGAGCTACACCCACAGCCCCCTCATTTTTATGGTTATAAAAAGTGCTGTTCATTACACCCATATAAAATCAGAGGCTACAGCACATATAAAATCAGAGGCTACAGCACAGCAGTTGATCTTCTTCCTCGTGGTTTTTTTTTTTTTCTGTCTCCATTTTTCAAAAGACCTAAGGGTGGTTTTAACACATGTCACTGTGAACATGAAAAGGAGGCTCAGGTGGAAGCAGGAGGGAAATCCTTGGGCCCTTTCTCCCAAGGTTCGGCTTCTCCACGGCTGGCATCTCTTGGACTCTGATGGTGGTTTAGCAAGGGGGCCCAGGGGAGATACTTATACTTTGCTTTTGAATATAGCAAAATTGAAACAAAAGCCTTATCTTTACAAGATGATCTTATGAAAATAGAGCAGAAAGTTTGATACTAAATGTGGGTTACACATGGCTACAAAGCAAATTCAGGCAGCTAAGCCACCATGGGTCCAGGACCACCAGGGGTGCAGCAGCGGCTCCGGGGACAACAGGCACCTGCCAAAGCATCTGGGTGCAGTGGGAGGTGTGCTGTCCCAGGACCCCAAGACATGGGGCTCTCTTCTCTTCTGAGTCTCAGGAGGCTGGACCCCACATGAGATGCTGTGGCAGCCCAGATGACACAGGCACTAACTGGACCCTGCCCCCAGGCATGGCCAGGTAGCTGCACCACCCACCATGGGGCTAACCAGGAGCCCAGCCCTGCCCGCCACACTGCTGCAGCCAGTGCCTGCCCAAGCCCTGCTGCTCCTCTTAGTCTGACGGCTCCTCTCTCCCCACTTCCCTCCACTCGAAGTTACACTGTGTCTCACCAGACCTCCTCACTGACCCCTCTGTCTCCACCCCCACCCCCGTGTGCATCTGTCCCCACAATGCAGCAGACTCGTCACAGGGACGTGAACTGGATGACAGCATCTTCCTCAGCCCCCTGCCTCCCCCTTTGCTCTTCTGGTGGGGACTGACATGTTCCAGGTGGCCCACACCTCCTGGCTTCCAGGCCTGTCCTTCCTCCCCACACCACCCGCCCCTCTGCTCTTGCGCCTCGCGGACCATCTGTGCCTTGAATGTGCCCGGTATCTGCACACCTGCCGTTTCCTCTTCCTGGGTGCTGCTCCAGGGCTCTGGCGCTCACCTCTCAAGTCCAGCTGAGCTGCACTTCCTCGGGAAAGTGTTCCTCCGCCCTGGAAAGGTCTGGCTTCCACCACACCATCTCGGTGTGTCTCTTTGCTGGGCTTGGGTGATTTTGATTTTTCTCTTAGTTGTACTGTTTTTCAGTGGCCAGTGTCTCCCAGGAGACCAGAAGCTTTCCTTAGGCAGGACCCACCTGCTCTGTGAACCCCTTAAGCTCACTTGGCTCAGCCGCTGACATCTAGCTCGCCCCGTCTCATTCTCTGGGTTGTGGTTGACTCTGTGCTAAGCTCTGGCCTGAGCTGTGAACTAGCCAGCGAGCCTCCGTCCTCACAGCGTGCTTCTTAGTGCAAGAGACAGATAGCAAATGACCAGCGACGAGAGACTCTGAGGCCCAACACCCAGGGATGCTGTGGTGGGGATGGGAGACGTTGTTGGCAGAGAACCATTGAAACCCGTGATAGGAGAACAGAGGTCTGAGATGAGGAGGGACTGGAGCCCGGAAGACTGTTCCAGACTTTGATGGGAGGCCGTGAGGCCCCAGGGCAGGGGTAAGGGCGGCCTTTAGGGATGTGCCCAGAGGCCAGTGTTCCCGGAGCAAGGAAGGAAACAGTCGCCTGTGACATGTTGGGAAGATGGGCAGAGACCAGCAAGGGAGGAAAGGTCTGCATGTGCGTCTGAGTGAATGGGAGTCCTGACGGGGCCTCACAGAGCAGCAAGGCGTGAGCTGAGGTTTCTGTGCTCTCTGGGTGGACCTTAGGAGAAGGGAACGAGGGGAGTGCAGGCAGCTGTGGCAGGTGGGCCTGGGAACAGCAGGGAGCCACGGAAACAGGGTGGGTGGGGGAAGAAACGCGTCTCAGGCAAAGCAGGAGGCTGAAGTGACTTCAGGGACGCTGGTCACAGTAGAGGACATTGAGGACACCATTTATGAGATGGGAAAGACTGGGAAGAATGGAGGAGTGGATGGACAGATCAGCAAATTGACGTAGAAAGACAATATGCTAAAGAAGGCTGAGCCTTTAGGGTGAGAAATATTCCTAAGGCACAAGACTTCTGACCTAGTCAAGAGTACTCCACAGACATCAAACCAAAAAGATAGGTGTGGAGAGGTTTGTCTTAGAGATCAGCTGGTTATAGGCAGGCTAGGAAGATGGAAACCAGGCAAGACTTGATAGTGCTCAGTTAAGGTCAAATTGTTTCTTCCCAGGAAAACCTTATTTTTTGTTGTTGTTGTTTTGTTTTGTCTTGTTTGTCTTGAGCCCACAATACTGAGGGCAATCTCTTTTATTTACCACCTAGTGTTTTCAGATGTTAACCACATCTACAAATTACCTTCTCTGCATCACCTAGATTAGTGTTCAATTACGTAAGTGGATCCTATAGAAAGTTCACACACACACACACACACACACACACACAAATAACCCTCACAACTCCAAATAATAGTTCAAAGGAAACTGTTAGACCTTTACCCATGATATAACTGAGGGTTGGCAAACTACTGTGCAGAGGCCAAATCCTGCCCACTGCTGGGTGTTGAGAATAAAGTTTATTGGAACTCAGATGCACCTGCTCATCTGTGCATTGTCTGTGGCTGCTTGAGTGTGACCACTGCAGAGGTGAGTAGTTGGGACGGATAAGATGATCACTGTCTGGTGCTTTGCAGAAAATGTCGGTGGAGACCTGGCTCGACTCCCTTTGTGGAGTCCCCCAGCAAGGCAGCTGCCAGAGCCCACAGAAGAGACTCAGGCTTCATCACAGTCATCAGATCTGAAGTCGAGGAAGAGCCGGGTAAGTATGGAGAGAACAGTCGAACACGCCCGGAGGTATTATGGGGGGAAGGAAACCTAAAACGCTTGCATTTGGCTTCAGATAACTGTTACCTCATTGCTCAAAAATGGAAGCTTGGCGTCTCCAGAACGTAAGGCTGAGCTCTCAATGAATCTCCCACGGAGGACGCAGCAGCAGGTAGGTGCAAGGAAAGAGCACCAGGGAGCCAACGTCACAGGCCACAGACTTGTGTAGCAGAGCAAGTAGCCACGGCTTGGGTTGGGCACCTCATCCTCACCTCCTGCTGGGGAACAAACCCTTCAGATACTGCACTGCTGCTTCCTGAAAGGAGTGTGTTGTGAAGTTTAAACCATATGAAGCCTTTTCCCTGCACGACGGTGTCTGAGTTTCGCCTACCACTCGGCATCTTGAAATATTTTGTCTTCTCCGTGGAAACCCACCCCCTTTTCTTTTTTGGGAAAACGCCTGGCTGACCTGACTCCCGTAACCCCCATCTGAAACAAGTCATGTTGGCCTGAGAACTTATTTTGAGTACTGATTGATAGGAAAATTTGTAAGTTCTTTTAATAACCTTTAAGATTTATTTTTAACATGCAAGAAAATATGTGATATCATAGAGATAAGGCAAAATAAAATTGATCTTTACAAGAGATGAAAAAAATCTTGCCACCCCATAATGTCTGATCAAATAAAATTAACTTTGACAACTGACCTAACAGGATTCTACCCTTACTGTTTATGAAGTGCTGTGTTAAGTACTTAATATACAAAATCCCCTGTAATCCCTACAGTATTCCTAAAAGGTGCATATGGTTTTATCTTGGGTTTGGGACGAAAAATCAAGACAACAGGGACCTCCAGCCCTGCCTCCTTAACTCCACAACCACAACCCCCTCCACTGCACAAAGCTATGTCCCCAACTTTCAGATAACAAAAACTGTTGGCAAGGATGTAGGGGGAAAGTTTCACTCATACATTGCTGGTGGGACTGCAAATTGGTGCAACCATTATAGAAAACAGTTAGGAGATTCCTCAGAAATGGATCAAGATTTGATTCAGTTATCCCACTCCTCAGCATATACCCAAAGGATTTAAAATCAGGATACTGTGGTGATGCAGCCACATCAATGTTTATAGCAGCTCAATTCACAATAGCCAAGCCATGAAACCAACCTAGGTGTCCTTCAACCAATGAATGGATAAAGAAAATGGGGTATGTATACACAATGGACTATTACTCAGCCTTAAAGAAGAATGAAAACATGGCATTTGCTGGTAAATAATGGGACAGGTGCCTCTCGTGCTAAGCTAAATAAACCAATCCCAAAAAAAACAAAGACCAAATGTTCTCTCTTATATGTGGATGCTAACACACAATAAGTGTGTGTTGGGGGAGAATAGGAGTTCATTGGACCAGACAAAAGGGAATGAAGGGAAGGGAGGGGAGATGGGAAGAGAAAAGACAGTAGAATGAATAGGAAGCTCCTCATCATGGGCAACCACAGAATGGGATCCTAGTTGGAATAAGTTATGCTCCATGATGTACGTCAGAGTACAGTCTACTGTCATGTGTGTCTAAAAAGAATAAAAATCAGAAAAGTGCTACAAATTTAAAAAAAATTATATAGTTACAGTCCTCTTGACTCAACTGAACATATTTATTTTTATTTGGGCACCTAATGTTTTACTTTTTAATTGTTTTTATTTTTTAAATACATGATAGTGGAATGCATCACAATTCTTTTTTTTTTAAGAGAGAGAGAGAATATTTTAATATTTATTTTTCAGTCTCAGTGGACACAACATCTTTATTTCTTATTTTTATGTGATGCTGAGGAATGAACCCAGCACCCCACACATGCCAGATGAGCGCGCTACAGCTTGAGCCACATCCCCAGCCTACAATTCTTATTACACACATAGAGCACAGTTTTTCATATCTCTGGTTGTATATAAAGTATGTGGCACCAATCCGTGTCTTCATAGCTGTACTTTGGATAATGATGTCCATCACATTCCACTGTCCTTGCTAACCCCCTGCCCCCTCCCTGCCCCTCCCACCCCTCTGCCTTATCCAGAGTTCCTCTATCCCTCCCATGCTCCCCTCCCTACCCACCTAATGTTTTAACTGCAGTGTTCCGGCCACTGTGCTCAGCACAGAGACCCCTGACATTTGTTCCTGTCCCTCCAGTGGGTGACAGAGAAGACAGAGGCAGTGGGGACCCTGCATCCTCTTCCTTGGCCTCCCGTGAGCAGGCTCCACCCGCCCCATCTGCAGACACCTGCTTCCTTGGCTTCTCGGCCCAGCGTGGGCCACGCAGCTCCTCCTGCTGCTCTCTGCGTTTTCACTCAGCTGTTTAGAACTGTTTCCTGAAGTGCGCGGAATGCGCAGCTTTACACTACAGCAGTTGTACATTCCACTCTCCCCACAGTGTCTCGCACAGATGCCACGGGGACCGGGCCCCTCTCTTCTCCCTGGATTGCCAGCTTCCCTGGCTTTGCCGCTGGAGTGCCCCAGACCAGGAGGGGCCTGGAATTCACGCCCCTGGGCTGAGGGTGCGGATCAGCGCTGAGGCTGCCTTGCCCTTCCCAGGGACTTCTCAGGTGCCCGTTCTGCACCATTGCCCAGAGTCCCCAGTGGGGCTTGCTCCAGGGACCACAGAGGTGACTTTAGGTGATGCAGGCTCCCCCCCACACACACACACGCTGTGCCTAGAAACACCCACGTCCTGCCTGGTGCTTCCTGGGATGACTCCCAAGTACAGTACTTGGGTTCAAACCCTTGTCTCAGGATCTAAACTAGGTCACGTCCCACCTCCCCTCCTGTGAGGTCAGGCCCTTTGAACTTCCCCCTCTTCAGTCCCAAGTCCCCCATCAGGTCTGCAGCTACTTCAGCCCAGCAGAGAGACCTACGCCTGTCACCCTGCAGGGGAAGTGACAGCTATAGGAAGTCTCGAGAAGCCCTGCAAGGCCACAGGTGGAGACTGCCAGAAGCGCCTGCTGTCCCCAGCCAGACCTCTCCCCGCAGCTTCCTCAGACCGCCCACACTGGCTCCTCGTCAGCTCTCTCCACTCCTGCCTGGAGACCGAGGCCGACTTCTGCAGCTATGGCTTCCAGCCTTTTTCATTGTCCTAGAATTGTCATCGGGGTCATTCAAATGGGTAAATAAAGGCATAGCTCACTGGGACAGGGAGCAACCTACACCACTGTGAGTGGCAGCCAGGTCTCCACTGCTCCCTGTGTTCTGGGGGTGCACAACCTAGCCCCCCGCAGGGACCCACACTCCTTTCGTTTCCCATTAACAATGGAGGCAGAGGTCCCGAAGGAAGCCAGCGTGGTGTCGAGGGGTCCAGCCTCTGGCCAACTCGACGGTGTCACTCCTCATTAGCTGAAGGAGCTTGGGCAAGTTGGTCCACTGCTCTCCCACTGCAGGTGTTTCTCTTTGGGGTCCAGCTGCGTACTGTGTTTTATTTATTTCTCCAAAATGACAGCTGCTTCAGAGACTATGACCACCCCATTCTCGGGGTCTGTAAGTCCAAGACCTGATCCACAGGGGTCCACTCTTGGCCACTGCCAGAAGTGAGCAATGGCCTCTGAGTGCCGGGGGATGTGAGTGGCAGGACTAGGAGCTGCTAGCTGTCACTTTCCTGACAGGCAGACCCACACATTGGAGGAAGCAGATGAGGGAAAGGTACCCAGAGTGAACGGGGTCCTACTGGGCTCCCAGTCCTGAAGCTAAAGCCATTCCTGACTTGGGTCCCAAAAGGCACCAGCAAGACTCTAAGAATCACACCTTTGTATGATTCCTGTCACTAGCCAATCTAGCAACGATTAGCACACTATTTCAGTGTGCCACCTATTTCTACTTCTCCTAGGCACTAATGGGTGACCACTGTGCTGGCTGATGACCAGTGACAGGAACGAATTATCTTGGTGTCCTTATGATACCATGTAAGTATGGCCTTAGGCCTTAGCCCAAGGAACTCCACTTTAAAACTCCAGTTTGAAGCCTGCAGCCTCACCAGGCACACCAAGAGCCTTCCAGTGTGGCCCTCAGGCACCAACAAGTCACTTCTCCCCACTCTGGCATGTTGCCCTCACCCTGAAAGAAGCAAGAAAATCAGGGTGGGGACCACAGACCAGATGCTTTAATCTCAGGACAATGACGTCACTGAAAAATCCAGTAGCAGCTGATAGGGATTGAAGGGACGGTCAGAAGCCCCAAAATGTAGTATAAATGAAGGAGCAAATGAAGAGATACTCAGCCAGCCGACACCAATGCCCTCACGCTGAGAGCCTGATGAGGACCTGGACTGACATCCCAACTCTTCTCCTCTGCCTGGTGCTCTGCATTGTTCTCACCATTCTCAAACTCTACAGCAGCCTCTTGACCCTGGTGAGAAAAGGACTTCTCCCTCTGACCGCCTCCTCAGCCAGCCGTCAGCGCCACCCCAGGAGAAGCCTGCCTTGGTTCCTGTCCTGATCACCTCGGTCTGAGTGAGTGGGCATCTGCTGGACTTAGAGCCTAAGGTTGAGACTTCTGATCTGACACCTGAGCTTAGCCTGCAGAGGGAATGTCTGTCATGAGCCTGTCATGATTAAGTTTGTCAGTTTGTCGTAGGGTTTAGAATTAATCTAGAATTGTTTGCTGTGGGTTGATTATGTCTATTGCAGGACCTAGCATTAAGGATTGCCATTTTCTGATTAAGAACCTATAGAGTGGGGCTGGGGTTGCGGCTCAGCGGTAGAGCGCTCGCCTTGCATGTGCGAGACCCTGGTTTTGATCTTCAGCACCACATAAAAATAAATAAGTGAAATAAAGGTATTTTTTTTTAAAAAAAGAATCTATAGAGTGAAATTGTATTGAGTGATTTGAGTGAATAAAGCATTGAAAGGGGCAGAAGCACATGAACATTCTTGTTTCTCCCCCACGACTGCATAAGTCGCACCTTTTTCCCATGGTGACATACAGCTCTGCATTGACACCCAGCGTTTACTGTCCTGCCCTACAGAAATGATAAACAATCCAAATGTCCACAGACAGAAGGCTGAGGAGATGTGTGGAGATGCAGGTTCTGCAGCAGGGGGTCTTCAGGCAATTCAGGAATATTCCACAGGCAGCTCCCTCCCTATGTATCATCGTCACTGTCTGGGTTGAATTTCTTCTCCTTTTTTTTTTTTTTCAAGCTGCTGGAAAAAGTCAATCTACCATCTTTCTGGCTATTTTAACTCAGTTTGAAAATAAATCAAAAACAAAACAAAACAAAATTTCTCCATTGCCTGCCTATTTCTAGAAGAATCTCTCTGGAAACGAGAAACATGAAAGGCAGACTTCAGCGGCTTGAACAGCAGGAATGTGGCCACATCATGAAGTTCTCCTCCCAGGAGACCCCACTGGCTGCAGGTTACGTGGCTCCTCACTGCCACAAGTTCAGTTCCATTCAACTTCCCCCGTGGCACTTTTTCTGTTGAAGTTGTAGCTCCTCACGGTGGACAGTGAGTCTGGTCCCCCGTCACCTTGCCTAGACCTTGTCAACAGTGCCCAGGAGGCACTGCCTCATCTGTCTGGAGGGGCCATTTGTTAGGCAGTAGGAGACACAAATTATATCCTGCATTCTTTTATTTGGAAATGGAATTATCAAAACTAACGACTAATGAGAAATGATACTTTTACGGTAGTCACAATTGTAACGTGTCATGCAAACTCACAC